GATTCGGGAATTGGTCCGAGGTTTTATGGTCTGTGGCAGAACTGGAATGCAATCTGGCTTTTCCACTTTCTTAGGCTGGACCTGAACCTGAACAACAGATGCATCTGGTCACACTGAGTGACAGGCGCTTGGAGACTGTGGCTGAAAATTACCAAAAGGCAAGAGGTCCACCCCCGGCCCCCGATTTGTTATTCCTGCTAGAATCCCCACCCCCACCCCCATCCCCACCCTCAGATGGGATGCCATGGGTGGTGTCTGGAACTGCCTAAACTTGCAGTCGGCAAACCTCGGCTCACGAGCCACATGCGGCTCTTTGGTCCCTTGAATGTGGCTCTTCCACAAAATACCATGTGTGGATACGCACGTACAGTGCGAAGTTGACTTAAAACTTTTTTAAGTCAAGTTTATTAAGTTAATTTTAGGGAACGTTGTGGAGTGAAAGAAGATGTAGTGTCGAGGATTGAGAAAGGTTTGTTGAGATGGTTTGGACATACAGAGAGGATGAGCGAAAGGAGACGGATGAAACAAGTACACAAGACGAGTGTGGATGGGAGAGTTGGAAGGGTTCGACCTCAGCAAACGTACCTCCATCAGACTGAGGACGTTTTTAGCAAAGGCCTTTTCAGCAGGTGCCGTCCCCCGGATATCCACTCCGGGAAAAACTTGTTCTGACTCCAGGGCTTTACAGAACTCCCCCTCCCCCAAATCAATCCCAGTGGACCAGAGAGCTAAATATAAAGCTTCTAAAGAAGTCACAGGCAAATTATCTTCATAACCTCGAGTAAACAAGTATTTCCGAAACAGGAAACAAAAAGTGCTAACCAGGGGAAAGGGCTGGTAAGCTGGACGATACCAACACGGACCCTCTGTTCATCGAGAGACAGGGTGAGAGAGGAAAAGGCCGCCGGAGGCTGGGAGGAGACACAGGCCACTCACCTGAGAAAGGCCTCGCACCCAAAGCAGAACTTCAAGTGAAAAAAGAAAAAGAGCCACAACTCCTGCCGGGAGCCGGTCCAAGGTCACCTCTCCGAGAAGTTCCGAGGCCACCGCACCACCTTCCTCGGTTACGAAGTCAGATTCCGCTGGACTGCAGGCGCTGGGCGGGCGTGGCCCCCCTGCCAGCAGCAGCCGCGGAGGAGGAGGACGGCGGTGGCTGGCGCTGCCTGTGATTAACTCCGGGCTCTGGAAGCGCGAGGCCAACAACCCCAAGGCCTGGAGGAGACCAGCTCCAAACAGCTTCCCGGAGCGGCCACCAGAAGGGGAGCCGGAGAGACCGGACGCGGGGCCAAGCACGCGGGGACGAAGGCGCACACGATGGACCTGCCGCCACGAGGTCCACAGAGCCGACCCTCCGGCCTCCCTCCGAGGGGAACACCAACCTCTCAACAGGAAATCTCCCCGCTGTTTTTCCCACAGGAAGAGCCGGCTGCTGCCGGTTCCAGCCTTCTACAGAGTGACCCTGAGAGCCGCAGAGCAGGGCTACCCCCCCCGCAGCTTAAGGACAGGCGCTACCCACAACGCCGCCTGGAAAACCTCAATGGACACATCAAGGAACTCGCTAGTCCTTCCCTAGCAACGACACCGTTTAGCGCGCTTGTTGTTGGGGTATCTTAGAACCCAATGCCTCACCTCTACATGAAAAATAGCAGATAAAAAGCCAAAACATGGCTGCCCATTTTCAGCCTAAAAGAATTTTAAACCACGCTCTCATGACCATAACTGTACTCAATTACGTGAACTTCAGAGTTCTCACTGAGTCTTCAAATGGTGGGATAAGAAAGCCATTAATTCACCTAGACTTTAGCCAAATCCTCAACATTGAGGATTGTGCCTGACGCTCAGAATTCTGGGCCCTGGTGCGTTGCCATTACAGACATACCCCCGACTCTGGGGCATCAGCAAAGGTATTCAGACTTGAGCTGAAGGTCTTACGTCTGAATACTGGATCCAACTCATTATCCCAAACATGAGAGAGCTTTCTCGCTAACACTCAGAAGACCTCTCCCACCAGGGCTCGTCCCAGCCCACCCAGGATGAACTGCATGACCAGAAATGCCTGAATACTTCAGGGATGCGTGGATGTGCCCAAAGAGCCCCATTTAAAACTACTTTATAGAGATATTTTTTTCAATCCGTGCAGAATACTTACCACAAAGTTTGAGATTAAATGGTTTCTCTATTGGAAATAAACTTTGGAAACTATACCACTGTAACTGCTATTGCTGCTGATCATCTGAACACACAATCGGCAAATAACGTACCGGGGACATTCAACAAGGAGCCCCTGGAATATCACTCCTCCCCCTCCAGGACTTAAGCCTCCACCAGGACACAGCCCCATGATGACCGGTGGGGGCCTGGATAGCTACACTACAGCGCATCCAGACAACAGGAGACTATGCCACTGAAAACAGAATGAGGAGTGAAAAAGGCAAAGCAATGCCTACAATACAGCTTTTGTCTACTAAGTAGAAGGAAGCTAAGAATCTGTGTTTTTATTTCCTCCGATAAACATGCATAAAGTAATGCAAAAGCAACTAAACACAATGGTGACTTCTGGGAGCACGCTGGAATGGATGAGATGGAGAATGTGTGTACTGTCTCTCTCTTTTTTTAAAAAATATATTTTATTGATTTTTTACAGCGACGAGGGAGAGGGATAGAGAGTTAGAAACATCGATGAGAGAGAAACATCGATCAGCTGCCTCCTGCACACCCCCCACTGGGGATGTGCCCGCAACCAAGGTACATGCCCTTGACTGGAATTGAACCCGGACCCTTCGGTCCTCAGGCCGACGCTCTATCCACTGAGCCAAACCGGTCAGGGCAGTACTGTGTCTCTTTTTATACTTACTTGTAGTTTGAACAATGTGAATGCATTAAATATATTTTCTTAAAAGACTGATTTCTTTTTCTTTATCGACTTGAGACAGGGGAAGGGAAACAGAGAGAAACATCAATGTGTTGTTCCACTTAATTTCTGCATTCGCTGGTTGATTCTTGTCTGTGCCCGGACAGGGGATCCAACCACAACCTTGGTTTTCTAGATGATGCTCTAACCAAGTGAGCTACCCTGCCAGCGTGATGTATTAAATATTTTTAAAAATCATTTTTAAAAAAAATATGGAGTCTAATGCACAAAAGAAAATAACAAACAAAATGGAAGCAGACTCATAGAGACAGACTGACAGCTATCAGAGGGGCAGGTGTTGGAGGGCTGGGGGAAGACGGTGAAGAAATAAAGCAAAAAAACCCCAAATAAACCTCATAGACACAGACAGCATGTGGTGATGACCAAAGGGAAGGGGGGTGGGGAAGTGGAGGAGGTGAAGTGGGGATACATGGTGATGGAAGGAGACTTGGCTTTGGGTGTGAACACACAATACAGTGTACAGCTGATGTATCGTGGAACTGTGCCCCTGAAACCTGGGTAATTTTATTAACCAATGCCACCCCAATCAATTCAATACAATATAAAATAAAAATAAAAAACACCTCCGGGCTCCAAGTTTCTACGCACCTGTTTGAGGAATCATCAACCTGGCACTCCGGGTAGACGCTGGAGAAGACCGGAGGGGAGTGATTGCTTGCTGTGTTGGCACCAATGCTCACGGAGGCTTCGGAGGCCGTCTTAAGGAAGCAATCGTTTTAAGCACAAAAATGACAAGAAACACAAACCCTAG